CTGGATTGCTCTAACGATAGCCGCTTGTCGTTTTCAGCCAAATATAAAGAAATCACACTATCACCCTTGAATTCTATCACGAATGATTTTTTCTCTAAAAATTCTCACCAAAATGCTTTTGTATGCTTGTAAACAATATAATGAGCTGTCACTGGACAGGCTGGCTTAGAAATGAGAGCAGTCTAAAGTAGGTTGTAGTTTTTTCATCTCACCCTGTATATATTTATCCGATTTCAATTTTATTGTGCACCAAATGGTTTATATCACCCCAAATGGATTGCATTTTGGTACTTTCGACGGAATTCAGTGTAGAAGAAAGTACTTCGAATTTAGTGAAATCGGTTTAGGTATAGCTCCCATTTATATGTTTCATCCGATTTGGTGTTTAAGTCCCTTACTCCACAACAAAGACATTTTATAATGGACATCAGATACCTCTGCCATATTTCATCCAGATCGGTTCAGATTTTCATACTATATATGTAATATCAGCCCGAAGTGGATACATTTTTTCATATTCAACCGAATTTTTCGATTTTGTAAAATAGGAGCGGTAATGAAATAAATAATCCAATAAATATATTTTTTTTTAGAATAATTCTTATAATTCTAATATTTTGTACGTATCTCTTGTACAAAAAGCCTCCATAAAATTTGTTGAAAATCGGTTCAGAATTAGATATAATTTCCAAATTGTGACTAGTCTAAAGCATTCAAATAAGGTCCATAGTTGGTATGATCTACTTCACATACATCACAAATATAAACATTTTTGTTACGGGAGCTCTACTAGAAATATAGAAATGAAATTTGATATTGAGACCACTGTTGGTTTCTAGGGTTAACAGTCTAAGCATCGGATGTGAATTTTATGTGAGATATGATTGCTCAAAAATTTGGATCCTTTGTGGGGAATGTACCAGATGGAATATCCCTTCTTCATCACAGATCTTGGGCTAATAAATATATTGAGTTGTGTGAAAGACAGTCGCACTTTTTATTAGATTTATAATTATGTCAAATGTTTACTGTTTATGGGAGGGGTACTTTATGTGGTGGGCGGATATTGTCCATTTTTACACCTAACCTAGCAGTGATAAAAAATTGAGATTTAGAAAGTTTACCTCTTCGTAGGAGGTAAATTATTTTCTTTGAAATTTTTTTAACGTTTGTGTAGAAGGACCAAAAGTATAAGGCCGATGTTGCCTATCTCCGAACTCAATTTAACTTTGACTGTAATATTACGATGTACCAAGTTTGGACAAAATCGAATACTTACTTTGTGAATTGAGGTGCGCAGAGATATACACAGACGGAGAAGGGGTGAAACGGATTTGATCCAAAAAAACATACCGACAAAACCGATTTTTCTATGAGGTTTTGGCGGTTTTGGCCATACGACTGAAGATATAAAAATGTGTTTGACTGTAGGGAATTTCCGACAAATAGTCAACAAAGGACACTGCCTTTGTGTAGCGCCCACACAAGTACATTTTTACTTGAGTTCAGAAGTGTATTTTAGCTGAAGGCAGGTGGAGAGGCATGATATTTTGAGCATGGTATTAAAAGCTGCATGTTGTATCGGAAACAGTACCCTTTTGAAATGCACGATAAAGAAAAATTAATATTTTGCCAAAAATTATTATCAAATAACATAAATTTCTTCGATAAGTAGCAATTGGTACCAAAAAGGACCAGTAGTACAAAAAATAGTTCAATATACTACCAAATTAGGTATATATAATTACAAATATATGGAGATTTTATTTTTTTTTTTTAAATTTCCTTTTTGGTACAAATTTTATGCCCTTTGGAAAATTCTAAATAGAAGAATAATTTTTATGCATTTATATTTCTTAAATTATATATCATACCAATAATAGTATCGGTATACATTTTAATTGAAACCTGAGAGTCCCGAATTTGTGGACACTTGCTCTTTATTAATCTTTAAAAAATGGAATTAAAATAATCTTGACAAGGCCTATAACATTCATCATTTGCAGTCTGTTAATTGAGCTCTGGAATGGCTTTAAATTATGCTCTGGTGGAATGACATTCAAGGCTAAAGCGGAAACAATCAAACCACAACCAGCTAAATAAACAACACCAAGGAAAGCCTCAAAAAACATTACAGCACACACACACAACCAAAATGAAATAGAGAGAGAGAGAGCGAGAGTAAACTATGAAAATACACTCACCCAGTTATTCATGCTAAAATTTCAACGAATCAAATTCTCTCACTCTCTTCCGGTCTATGTTCCTGTCGTCCATGCCATGTGGAGGATAACACGTTTGATTAAGGGTTAACATGCCAACATTATTCTCATGTTGCTGCACCACCGCTCACTTCCTGTTCAAATAATTGTGTGGAAGGGAGAAGGAAATTTTCGACACTCACCATGCCAAAACACTCTTTGACAGAAAACCAACAAAACAAACAGAAGCACAGTAACGGAAAGCAAGCAAGTTTCCGTCGTATCGTCGTCGTCTGTTTAGTTTGTTTTCAACTGTGCGGTCGGTCGGAGAGTCGGAGAGAGAGAGAGCGCGAGGCGGTTTGAGTTGTGCGAACACATAAAACACATTTTTATGTTAAAGAAAGAAAAAAAAAAAAAAAAAAACAGAAAATATTCGTTCGAAATCAATATTTAACCCATCCATACAAACAGTGGGATACCTCGGCTTCGTACACATGGAAGTGCCTGTCTCTGTGTGTGGGTGGGAGGTTTTCAAGTATGTGTTATGGTAAAAAGGGATCAAAGAATGAACATTAAAACAAAAACAAAATTGGAATTCTTTATGCCTCAAACAAACCAAGTGTTTGAGGGTGCTTGTGTGTTGGCGTTTTGTTTGGTCAATAATGTGCGGGTGTGTTGCAGGTATGTGTGTGTGTGTATGTTGAACTTGGGTGTCATATTACAGCATAGACTAATGTTTACTCTTGTTCGAGCGAACAAAAGGTTAAAATAAACCAAGTCACAGTCATAGTGCAAATGTAAGTGTCATTGTTGTTCTTTTTGTAATTATATTATTTGGAGGCCCACAAAATTCTGAGGCAACCAATGTGGCATATCCAACTTTATTTTGAAATAATTTCAATTCCATTGCTGTGATTGAAAATGTAGAAAATCGAGGGAAAATATTATTTTGTCAGAATATAAATTAATGTTTAATATTCATTCTTTGAGGGAACGAATACACCAAAAGGTGCTCGAACTTTGAGCGATTGGTATGAGCTTTAAAATGTTGAACAGACACTCTTGGTTTAGTGGGTTAATATAAAGGAGATTTTTTTTAATCGCAATTATACTTAGAGTACAATTATGCGATCGGGAAGGCCAGACATTTTTTGGAGCAAGTTAAAATTAGGAGCTATGCTCGGATTATTTTGAAATTTTTACCGCAGATGGGTATTTTTAACATGATTATCATCCGGTTACCTGGTTATTTAACCCGAAAGTTCGAATACATAATAATATTTTTATCTGGTTCTACAAAATTTTACAAAATAGGTATGATTTGAATACTTATGGAATTACCTATCCAAGTAGTGGTAAGTAGCAGGCCTTCGGCCGGGGCATGAGATTTTCTCTTTTGGTTTATGTTTAACATTGGTTTTCTAAACACTATCAGAGCACTAAAAGTGGATTTTGAAGATTATTTTTACAGGGAATATCATATCATTAAATAAGGATAATTTAAGAATACTTTTTCAAAGACTGTCATGTCACATAACTTGGATCTTTCAGGAATATATATTCAAGGAACGTGAATTTGTACAGACAATATTTTGTGAAGAATTTTTTGAAGACTATGAGAATCGCTGTTTATGTTATCCGACTGAAATGAATTTTTTTCAAACAATATTTGTTCGGCCCGAGGACGAACCCTATTGAAATTTTGCGAGAATCGGTTCAAATTTAGATATAGCTTCCATATATCTTCAACCGATTACGGGTTAATTGTGCACCAAATGACCTGTATTTTGATACATCCCACCGAATTCAATCTAGAAGCAAGTACATAAATTTGGAGATAATCGGTTCAGATATAGTAATAGCTCTCATATATAAGTTTCATCCGATTTGGATGTCCATAAGACATAGAGTGTATATATAGGGCAAATACTACGAAGATTTGCGTGCCTCTTGGTTTCGGTCAAAAATCAACATAAAATATTGGCAGGACTATGTGACATTATTTCAAGAATTTAATGAAATTAAAATGTTCAATAGGCATGGAAAATATTTCCTGAATGTGACGTCACACGCCATTCCCAGCGAAGCCCTTTACTTTTCAAACCATTTCTGCTGATGTTGCCGTTTCCTTCCGTCTACTTCCTTGACGTTGGGCTACGCTACCAGTGGAGACACAAAAGATTTATTCACATTTAAATGCTGGAGTGTTCTACCGATAGCCACTTGTGGTTTTCCAGCCAAATATATAAAAATCACACTATCACGCTTGATTTCCCTCACAAATAATTTTTTTCTGGGAAACTCTCACCAAAATGCTTGTGTACGCTCAAAGTTTTGACCCGTTGTACCGGAAGGAGTTGTCCGATTTATTTTATATTCACAACTGATTATGTATTGATAGAAATATTGTGATGTGTGAAATTTGAAGGGGATTGAATGCTTACATCGCATTCATAAGCATTTTGGTTATTAAAAAATTCCAGAAGGAGTTGAGCGATATGTTCCATCTTCACATCAGGTCTTGTGTTATTAGAAATATTGTGATTTGCCAATCGGATGCTTATTTCGCGTTTTATGAGCATCATAGTTATTTAAAAATTCCCTCCCCTTTGTGGGGAGGTACCAGAAAGAGTGTAGCAAGATATGCCATTTTCAGACTTGATTATGTCTTGATAGAAATATTGGGATGTGTGAAATTTGAAGAGAATTGGATGCTTATTCCTCCCTTTTGTGGGGGAGGTGCCAGAAGGAGTGTACCGATATTACCTATCTCCGAATTCGAACCCCAAGTTTGTGACGACCAAAAATCGTGGCACTCAATTTTGCTCACACCTTGCAGTGTTATTTGTTCTTTAATAATAAATAAATATTCTAAAACTCAACTTTCTCATTTGTCTCGGTTAAAAGAAAACAACAAAATACAAGGGGTTACCGTTATTCTCACACATCACAGCCATTGGTTGTGATGATCACAGCCAATGTTGTTGTGACAAGTTGATCAAAACAAGTTCCCGTTATCTCACGCTAGAACACGTGGTTGGGGCTTGCTATAAAAGGGAGATCAACGAGTGAGAAGGGACAGTCAGTGCCGGACAACGACAGAAGACACATCCATCCCAGGTGAGTGATACATTGTATGAATAATTCTAATAGCCGTCCTAGGGTACTTATCCAGGTCCCTATTCCCTTCCGTGTCCTTGCTTGAGTACTTATCCAGGTCTCTTGCAGTATAATCCTTGCCTAAGTAGAATCCTTGCGTATCCTTGAATAAGTAGAATCTTTGCGTATCCTTGCCTAAGTAGAATCTTTGCGTAACCTTGCCTAAGTAGAATCCTTTCGTGTCCTTGCCTGAGTACTTCTTAAGGTCTCTTGCCGTAGAATCCTTACGTATCCTTGCCTGAGTACTTATTAAGGTCTCTTGCCGTAGAACCCTTACGTATCCTTGCTTGAGTACTTATTAAGGTCTCTTGCTGTAGAATCCTTACGTATCCTTGCTTGAGTACTTATTAAGGTCTCTTGCCGTAGAATCCTTACGTATCCTTGCTTGAGTACTTATTAAGGTCTCTTGCTGTAGAATCCCTACGTATCCTTGCTTGAGTGCTTATTAAGGTCTCTTGCCGTAGAATCCTTACGTATCCTTGCTTGAGTACTTATTAAGGTCTCTTGCCGTAGAATCCTTACGTATCCTTGCTTGAGTACTTATTAAGGTCTCTTGCCGTAGAATCCTTACGTATCCTTGCTTGAGTACTTATTAAGGTCTCTTGCTGTAGAATCCCTACGTATCCTTGCTTGAGTGCTTATTAAGGTCTCTTGCCGTAGAATCCTTACGTATCCTTGCTTGAGTACTTATTAAGGTCTCTTGCCGTAGAACCCTTACGTATCCTTGCTTGAGTACTTATTAAGGTCTCTTGCCGTAGAATCCTTACGTATCCTTGCTTGAGTACTTATTAAGGTCTCTTGCCGTAGAATCCTTACGTATCCTTACTTGAGTACTTATTAAGGTCTCTTGCAGTAGAACCCTTACGTATCCTTGCTTGAGTACTTATTAAGGTCTCTTGCCGTAGAGTCCTTACGTATCCTTGCTTGAGGACTTATTAAGGTCGCTTGCCGTAGAATCCTTATGTATCCTAGCCTGAGTACTTATCAAGGTCTCTCGCAGTAGAATTCGTGTGTATTGCCTAGCTTATTTCCCCAATAGACCTACGTAACTGGAAAATCCGAATCCCAGTGAGAGTATCCTGTGTGAGAGTACTTACCCAGGTCTCCAACTCCCAACATCCCAGTCCATTCCCCACCAGGAGTACTTATCTAGGTCTCCATTTCGAAGGACGGCAAAAGTTACCCACCTAATCTCGGACAGACGTCATCCTAGTAGTATTAAGCAATATCTCAGTTTACTTTGTATATACCTCTATTGCGTACGGAATAAACATTATAGAACGTAAAACACTCGTCTTTCTCTTTCTCTCTCGCACACAAACAAATTTTCTGTTACGAACTTTGGCCCCGGCGAGCTTACTCCAGCCTAAGGGGAAACCTGTCGTTACAGTGGCGCCCGAGCAGGGACAGAGAGAGTTAGAGAGTGTATTAAGAATTCTATAAAATGTCGGTAGATTTACGTGTGTCCTGGGCGTACAGCCTTCGTAAGGACGATTTAAATAGGTACCTCGACGAGTTTAACTGCGATACCGATGGAACGGTTGAAGAACAACGAAAGCGATTCGCGATGTACATAGCCCAATACCACCCCCCGGAGATTATGAAAAGACTGTTAGAAATCCAAGCTATACATGAGAGGGACACGAAGGTGGCGACGCCTAGGAAACTGAGCGCAGAAACAGATGGCGAAGAGGCAACTCGGATAGAAGTACCAATGTCCCGGGGCAAGAAAACACCAGACGTGCAAACAATCGCGGAACAAGTACGGAAGTGGGGCATAAGCTTCACCGGTGAAAGTAAACCTTTGGAATTCGTTGAGAGATTGGAAGAAAGGGCGGAGATGTACCAGATCCCTAACGGCAATTTGATCACCGTAATGCCAGAAGTGCTTCATGGTCGGGCATTGATGTGGTCCCGGAACAACAGAAAACCCTGGCGATCCTGGGAGGAATTTCGAAAGGATTTCTTGAAATTCTTCCTCCCTCCGAGGTTTATGGAGAATTTGGAGGACGAAATCCGGCAACGAAAACAGAAGCCGCGTGAACTGTTCAAGGACTACATGCTAGCGATGCAAGACCTAATGAGACACACTAGTTACAACGAGGAGCAGAAAATGGAACGAATTTTTAAGAATGCCTTACCGGAATACTTGTGGTACATCAGACGGAGGGACTTCACCAATCTGGCGGGCCTCTTAGAGATGGCCGAAGACTTAGAGAATATCCCGACCATGCCAACCGTAGCCAGAGATCACCACCACCGAATTGAGTCACGAAGCTCGGAAAGTATGCGTGAGGTACCGATCAACACAGCCACGGCTTGTCGAAGATGCGGCCAGGAGGGCCATTTCGCAGCTGGATGCCGCAATCCACAGAAGCTCTTCTGCTGGGAGTGTGGTCGAAGAGGCATTCGGACGATACAGTGCTGTCGAAAGCGATCGGGAAACGAGCATCGAGTCCGCATGGAGGTAGAGAATGTGGGCTCGCAGACACCCACTCCAACTCAGGAGGAACATCGCTCTACAGTACCGCCTCACGCATAATTGCAGAAATTATAATTCACAGTCGGCGTTGCCTGGCCACCGTTGACACAGGGGCAACCAGGAGCTTCATAAGTGAGGCGTACGCCCAGACGATCGATCCCCAAACCATACAGAGAACACAGGATATAACGATCGGGTTGGCAGACGGGTCACAACGGAGAGTTCAGCATTCGGTGGTTACCGATCTAATCTTTGGACAATGCAGAATGAAAATGGAATTCCTGATTATGCCCCACGCCAGCGAAGATATAATCTTGGGGATGGATTTTCTCCAACGGAGCAGGACTAAAATACTTTGTGCTGGGTTAAGCTGTGTCATACCGTGTATCGAAGAAACAGAGAGAACAATCGAAAGGCATCTACACCTGACAGTAACCACACACCAACCACCGGAATCCGAGAAAGACGACGGCACAAACACGATAAACCCGGGATTGCAAGAACCTACCTTGTCACCCACGGTAAGTGTGCTAAGCCCCACTGATCAAGAAAGGATAAACGCTTTCCTCAACGAAGAACTAAGCAAATTTCAGGAGTTGCACGGATTCTCTACGGTCGCTTCTCACCGAATTGTCATGAACGACGATAGGCCATTCAAGCTGCGGTATGCAGCAAGGAACCCAGCAATGCAGGCCATCGTCCAGGAAAAGGTAAATGAACTCCTTAGTAAGGGATTTATAGAACCTTCACGTAGTCCGTACAACTCACCAATTACATTGGCTCGAAAGAAGAACGGTACTTGGAGACTTTGTATGGATTTTCGCCATTTAAACAGTAAGTCCGATCCCGATGCGTACCCCTTACCGCGGATCTCGTCCATTCTCGACCGACTCAGGGAGGCGAATTTTGTCAGTAGCCTCGACTTAAAGGATGGATATTGGCAGATACCATTGGAAGAGACTAGCAGAAAGTACACGGCATTCACTGTACCCGGGAGAGGGTTATACCAATGGCGGGTGATGCCTTTTGGACTGCATTCCGCCCCCGCTACATTCCAACGTGCCCTCGACACCGTAATAGGCGCTGACATGGAACCACACGCATTTGCCTATTTAGATGACATCATTGTCATAGGTAAAACATTAGAAGAACATTTGGAAAATTTAAGAGAGGTGTTCCGAAGACTACGAAGGGTGAATCTGCGCATAAACCCAGAAAAATGCGACTTTTTCAAGAAAGAGACCAAATACCTCGGCCACGTCGTTAGCGCCCAAGGCATCCACACGGACCCAGATAAGGTTGCGGCCATTCGTGAACTGCCAACCCCCAACTGCCTAAAAGAACTCCGCCGGTTTTTAGGAGTAGTGTCGTGGTACCGCAGATTTGTTCCTGATTTTGCAACCTTAGCATACCCTCTCACCTCCATGTTGAAAAAAGGAAAGCATTGGCGTTGGACCGAGAACCAGCAAACAGTTTTTGAAATACTGAAACTTCGTCTGACAGAAGCACCGGTACTAGCTTGCCCGGATTTTGCAAAACCTTTTTCACTACAAACAGATGCTAGTGACTACGGGCTAGTAGCCGTATTAACGCAAGTCCTCGAAGGCACGGAGAGAGTCATTGCGTATGCTAGTAGGGTCCTAATTGGAGCAGAAAGAAATTACTCCGCAACTGAGAAGGAATGTCTAGCCATAGTTTGGGGTATTCGGAAGATGCGCCCCTATTTAGAAGGTTATCACCTTAATGTTATAACCGACCATCTATCTTTGAAGTGGCTCAACTCCATCGATAACCCTACAGGCAGGTTGGCACGCTGGGCCCTCGAGCTGCAACAATACACTTTTTCGATTCAATACAGGAAGGGCCGCTGTAACGTCGTAGCAGATGCACTGTCACGTCAACCTGTGGAATACCTCCAAAGAGCAAAAATAGAGTACAGCGGATGCCCGTGGATAACGAAGAAGATAGAAGGTATGAGAACAAACCCGGAGAAATTTGCAGATTATGCGCTGGTGAATCAGCAACTCTTCAGGCATATTGCAGGGAACTCACACGACGAAGATTGCGCCCCTTGGAAACTTTGTGTGCCCGAACCCCAGAGACAACGAGTACTACAGGAAAATCATAGCCAAACGTCCGCAGGCCATATGGGAATTCGCAAGACAATCAACCGCATATGCAGCAGATATTACTGGCCGGGAATGACAAGGGACATCACCAGATTTGTTCGGAGTTGTGAATCCTGTCAACGCTATAAACCGTATCAGGTCGCGCCGGCAGGAGAAATGTTGGTGTCGGTTCCCGAGGAGCCATGGGCCACTGTTTGTACGGACTACGTAGGTCCCTTACCACGAACTAGACATGGGAACACGATGCTCCTGGTTTTCTTCGATCGTTTCTCCAAATGGGTGGAACTGATACCACAGAGAAAAGCGACTGCGGAAGGGGTAGTGAAGGCGTTCCGTGAAAGAATCCTTGCTCGCTTTGGAACCCCAAAATCCTTATATCGGACAACGGCAGTCAATTTACAAGCAGAGTTGTTAGGAAATACTTGGATGAAATCAGAGTGCACCACCAGCTAACCGCACCGTATTGCCCACAAGAAAATCCGACCGGAAGAGCCAACAGAACGGTGAAAACAATGATTGCTCAGGTATGCCAGAATAAGCACAATCGGTGGGACGACTTCTTACCGGAAATATCCCTGGCGATAAATACGGCGACTTCTGAGTCGACCGGATATAGTCCTGCGTATTTAGTACAAGGCCGTGAACCTAGATTGCCAAAAGCACTCTACGACGAAGCTGTCCCTGGTACAGGACACACCCCCAAAACACCTGAGGAGAGAGCGAACGACTTACAAGAAGTTTTTAAAATAGTCCGGAACCAACTCAGTCTGGCGGCTGAGGAACAGCGTCGGCACTATAATCTTCGTCGGCGGCCCTGGAAACCGGTAGTTGGGGAGAAGGTACTAGTAAAGCAGCACCCACAGTCCAAGGCAATTGATCAGTTTGCTGCCAAGCTGGCACCAAAATACGATGGGCCATTCGAAGTGATAGAATTCGTGTCGCCAGTAATAGTTAGAATACGAGGACCCGACAAACGTTCGACCCGTGTTGCCCATCTTAGTGAACTCAAACCGTTCGTGATAAATTAACGTTTTCCCATTTTTCTTTGTCATCTACAGATTAAACCATGAAAACCAAGGCAGCACAGAAGCAGGGTGGTGATTGGCCAATCACCAAAGTTTGCGAGGTCCGCTTGAACCGCTTAACACCCCAGGTCATTCTCCAGATAATGAGAGAATTAAAGGCACAGCCCTACCCGAGGCCAAACGAAGTCTCCCGAGCCCTCGAGATTTTACGCAGCCGAGGGATCACCGCCGAGCTCGCTGCACCGGAGGTGGTGTATATTTCCTCGGATGACGATCTGAATACCCCGCCAAGGCCAGTGAGAGAGAGGAGCTCAAGACCAAGCACCCCGTCCCCGGTGGTTTCGCCACAGTCTGAACAAGGAATTCGGCGGGGAACAACACCCCATGACGATTGGAGTTGGTTGCTGGCGAGCCCGGTTCCTGCTAAACCAAATGGGCTCCCTATAACCCCCGGCCGCGGCATGCAGGCTAACTCACCTAGCGGCCCCTCGCTTGGAAGCACAATCGTCGGTAGTCCAGGGAGTGATGTTGCCCACCTCCAGCAAATATTGGAAGGGTCCCCAAAACCCGAATACCCGAGACCGTTGGCTGTTCCGGAAGCAGTGGAAGGCACGGGAGACAAACCGAGGTTGAAGAGTGTGGTGGTCATACCAAAGGCAGCAGAGAAGAGGGTGGAGTTCGTCGGCGCAAGAGCGCTATCTCCGGATACGGACAGAGAACTTCAGCCGCACTTGGAAGCAGCCTTAGCGCTACATAAACCAGGCAACCAATATAAGAGAGTCGTGGAAGTTCGCGGAAAGAGGTTGCGGATATTGGTTGGCCGGAAGGGCAATGTGACGGTCATTCCTCGCGGTCAAGAGGACCCCACCCCAGGGAAGGGGAAAGTGTGACGACCAAAAATCGTGGCACTCAATTTTGCTCACACCTTGCAGTGTTATTTGTTCTTTAATAATAAATAAATATTCTAAAACTCAACTTTCTCATTTGTCTCGGTTAAAAGAAAACAACAAAATACAAGGGGTTACCGTTATTCTCACACATCACAGCCATTGGTTGTGATGATCACAGCCAATGTTGTTGTGACAAGTTGATCAAAACAAGTTCCCGTTATCTCACGCTAGAACACGTGGTTGGGGCTTGCTATAAAAGGGAGATCAACGAGTGAGAAGGGACAGTCAGTGCCGGACAACGACAGAAGACACATCCATCCCAGGTGAGTGATACATTGTATGAATAATTCTAATAGCCGTCCTAGGGTACTTATCCAGGTCCCTATTCCCTTCCGTGTCCTTGCTTGAGTACTTATCCAGGTCTCTTGCAGTATAATCCTTGCCTAAGTAGAATCCTTGCGTATCCTTGAATAAGTAGAATCTTTGCGTATCCTTGCCTAAGTAGAATCTTTGCGTAACCTTGCCTAAGTAGAATCCTTTCGTGTCCTTGCCTGAGTACTTCTTAAGGTCTCTTGCCGTAGAATCCTTACGTATCCTTGCCTGAGTACTTATTAAGGTCTCTTGCCGTAGAACCCTTACGTATCCTTGCTTGAGTACTTATTAAGGTCTCTTGCTGTAGAATCCTTACGTATCCTTGCTTGAGTACTTATTAAGGTCTCTTGCCGTAGAATCCTTACGTATCCTTGCTTGAGTACTTATTAAGGTCTCTTGCTGTAGAATCCCTACGTATCCTTGCTTGAGTACTTATTAAGGTCTCTTGCCGTAGAATCCTTACGTATCCTTGCTTGAGTACTTATTAAGGTCTCTTGCCGTAGAACCCTTACGTATCCTTGCTTGAGTACTTATTAAGGTCTCTTGCCGTAGAATCCTTACGTATCCTTGCTTGAGTACTTATTAAGGTCTCTTGCCGTAGAATCCTTACGTATCCTTGCTTGAGTACTTATTAAGGTCTCTTGCAGTAGAACCCTTACGTATCCTTGCTTGAGTACTTATTAAGGTCTCTTGCCGTAGAGTCCTTACGTATCCTTGCTTGAGGACTTATTAAGGTCGCTTGCCGTAGAATCCTTATGTATCCTAGCCTGAGTACTTATCAAGGTCTCTCGGAGTAGAATTCGTGTGTATTGCCTAGCTTATTTCCCCAATAGACCTACGTAACTGGAAAATCCGAATCCCAGTGAGAGTATCCTGTGTGAGAGTACTTACCCAGGTCTCCAACTCCCAACATCCCAGTCCATTCCCCACCAGGAGTACTTATCTAGGTCTCCATTTCGAAGGACGGCAAAAGTTACCCACCTAATCTCGGACAGACGTCATCCTAGTAGTATTAAGCAATATCTCAGTTTACTTTGTATATACCTCTATTGCGTACGGAATAAACATTATAGAACGTAAAACACTCGTCTTTCTCTTTCTCTCTCGCACACAAACAAATTTTCTGTTACGAACTTTGGCCCCGGCGAGCTTACTCCAGCCTAAGGGGAAACCTGTCGTTACAAGTTTTATAATAATATTACGATGTACCATGTTTTTTTTTTGGCAAATCGGATACTCCCTTCGAGAGTTATCGTGCGCACCAGCCAGACAGACGGACGGACAAACGGACGGAAATCGCTAAATCGACTCGAAGTGTCCGGAAACGAATTTAATCCAAAGAGACCTAGGGGCTGAAACCATTATTTCGGTGAGACACGTTTTGGCATATATATATATATATATATATATATATATATATATATATATATATATATATATATATATATATATATATATATATATATATATATATATATATATATATATATATATATATATATATATATATATATATATATGCCAAAACGTATATATGACATTTTGTGCACCAACTTAATTTTTGTTGATAGACAGACAGACAAGGTTAATTTTACATAAAATCTTATGCTGATCATACAGGGTTGTCCATATTCGACGGACCCATCTGGCAACGCCATAACTTTTGACGGAGATGTCACATCGCTTAATGACATAAGTAGTTTCAGCTCTCTGCCACATTTACCACCCGATTTGTATAAAATAAACAAGTAAAAAAGCTGTAAGTTCGGCCGGGCCGTACTTTGAATACCCTCCACCATTTGGTACAAATTTGGCAATTTTCCAAAAAAAAAAAAATAAATAAATAAATAAAAAATAAATAAATAAATAAAATAAAATCCGGTAAAAATTCTGTTAAAATCTTAAAAATACCGAAAGCAGCCGTATATTAGGGTCTATACGATTACGTGGACCTGCATAGGCAACTTTTGTCTTAAGCTATTACAATATTCAAATGCGAAACTTGAAAAAAATATGTTTATAATGTAGCTAAAACCATCAAAGTACCGAAAATAGGGAGGTACCATCGGGGTTATAAAACGTGGACCTGCACAGACAATTTTCTGTCATAGGCTGTAGTATCTATTACGAACTTTAAATGCGAAATTTGAAACATTTCCGGTAAATAATGTCGCTAGAATCATCAAAATACCGAATGTCGGGAGGTACCGTTATATGGGGGCTATACGTGCACGTGGACCTGCACAGACAATTTTCTGTCTTAAGCTGTAGTATCCATTACGAACTTCAAATACGAAATTTTGAAACAATTCCGGTAAATAATGACGCTAAAATAATCAAAATACCGCATATCGGGAGCTACCGTTATATGGGGGCTATGCGAAGACGTGGACCTACATGGCACATTTTGTTTTTTAGGCTGTAGTATCCATTATGAACATCAAATACGAAATTTTGAAACAATTCCGGTAAATAATGTCGCTAAAATAATCAAAATACCGCATATCGGGATCTACCGTTATATGGGGGCTATACGTGGACGTGGACCTGCACAGACAATTTTCTGTCTTAAGCTGTAGTATCCATTACGAACTTCAAATACGAAATTTTGAAACAATTCCGGTAAATAATGACGCTAAAATAATCAAAATACCGCATATCGGGAGCTACCGTTATATGGGGGCTATGCGAAGACGTGGACCTACATGGCACATTTTGTTTTTTAGGCTGTAGTATCCATTATGAACATCAAATACGAAATTTTGAAACAATTCCGGTAAATAATGTCGCTAAAATAATCAAAATACCGCATATCGGGATCTACCGTTATATGGGGGCTATACGTGGACGTGGACCTGCACAGACAATTTTCTGTCTTAAGCTGTAGTATCCATTACGAACTTCAAATACGAAATTTTGAAACAATTCCGGTAAATAATGTCGCTAAAATAATCAAAATACCGCATATCGGGAGCTACCGATATATGGGGGCTATGCGAAGACGTGGACCTACATGGCACATTTTGTGTTTTAGGCTGTAGTATCCATTACGAACATCAAATACGAAATTTTGAAACAATTCCGGTAAATAATGTCGCTAAAATAATCAAAACACAGCATATCGGGAGGTACCGTTTTATGGGGGCTATGCGAAGACGTGGACATACATGGCCCATTTTCAATACCAAAAGTCCTGCAGGCATAATAAACATTTGAGTAAATTTTTTATCAACCTACTTCATTTTGTTCGGAAGCTAGAGTGATTTCCACAGACGAACTGACGGATAGACGGACTGACATTTCTAAATCGACATAGAATTTTATGCTGATCAAGAAAATATATACTTTGTGGGATCTAAAATGTCTATTTTTAGGTGTTCCAAACGGAATGGCAAACTTAATATACCCTCCATACTATGGTGGAGGGTATAAAAAGTTTGTTTTCAGCCGATGTTAACGTCATGTTTACCTGTCTCTACCTACCACTGCTCTGTCTACGCCATTTTCATCTTAGCTTGTTTTTTTTTTTGGTCATTCAAGTGGGAATTTTGACATTTGTTCTAAAACCACTTCAATACTCTTCCAACACACACACTCACTCATGTACACGAACATACCTGTAATCACTCCGGCACATTTGTGTGGTATATAAATAAATACCGATTCTGTGGCTGGACTAATAAACCTCATTAGAAAGTTAAACAAAGCAAATATTTTTCTGTGGTAATTTACAACAAACGTAAATTATTGTTTTTATTGTAATGCGTATTTTTTGTGTGTGTGTAAAACTTTTCTAATATATTGAGTGGTAATTTATTTATGAAAACCACAATATTGGTTTTAATTTGAAAATTAATTTGTGCCAAAGATTTATTTTATGTCTAATATTTCATTTTTTGTATTTTTTGTAGATATTTATTTAAGGACCACTCTCCCACTCTTGTGAGTTGTAAGATACACACACATAGAGGCTTGGTGAGTATATATTTGTGTATTATGTATTTATATCTTAGGTTTGGTTTTTAATGCCAAACTTGAAGCATATTTAATTGGAAAAGTTGGCATTAAAATATGAATAAGTAATATGTACGATTGTGAAATCTTGATCTTTGAAGTTTGACATTTAGTGGAAAGTTTTCTTTTATTAATCCCCATAACTAACAATGTGAAGAACGTATTTTGACAATGTCAAAATTTATGACCAAAGTCCTTTCATTGTGAAAATCGCTTAGTAGCACTTTATGTTGGTTGTTCCAAAATATAATCTAGATACTATTTCTCCTATTTTAACTAGAAAGGTGCAAAAGGACGATTTGGTGAACTTTTTGTGGGATCCCCTCCTTGCTTTTAATGAAAATATTTCTTTGAAAATATTGAACTTTTTTGAAGCACTCATCTCCGAATTCGATCCAAATTTGATGGAAATATTGCAATGCTTCAAATTTGAACGAAATTTAAAACTTTCTTTGAATTATGGTCGTTCAAATTTGTGTCAGTCTGTCCATGTATTGTTGTGAACAAAATGCAGGTCGGATTTATTATCCGATTAAGATAAAATTGTACATCCCACCGAATTCAGTCTAGAAGAAAGTTTTCATGTCCCTAAAATTCGTAATATCAATTCGACAACAATGATATTAGGTACCAGGTATCCTTTAGAGCTCGGATATGCCTTTGTCTAATTGTATATAGATCGGCTAAGATTTGGATATAACTCCCATATATCCTTATTCCCATATAACCTTATATTTTTTTAATGTAATCCTTCTCATGCACTCTATAGCAATGTTATTTCGTATAAAGGGTTAAAATGTCTCCGTCAAATTTAATGAAAATCGATTCAGAATTGGATTTGCCTCCGATATATTAGTTCCCCCTGAAACCACATATGACTGCTCTAAAGCCAAATGTTCAAATAAATTATTTTTTACGAAAACTCTACTAAATATACATGGTGGTGTAGGGTATCAGATAGGCGGCCCCGCACTGATTTTAATAATAATTTCGTCAAATTTTGGTACTTTCAGCTCTTTGGAAGAATAAACCAGCTTTGCAAAAAGTTATATATATATATATATATATATATATATATATATATATATATATATATATATATATATATATATATATATAAATATATATATATATATATATATATATATATATATATATATTTATTTATATATATATATATATATATATATATATATTTATTTATATATATATATATATATATATATATATATATATATATATAGATATATATATATATATAGATATATATATATATATATATATATATATATATATAGGTGGATGTTTTGTTATAATCCTGAATTTAGCTATTTCCATGGTTTTAGCCACAGTTTTCAATTTATTTTGGTCTTATTTGCCATTTTGTTTTCTAAATGTTCAATGCAGGTCAATGTTTCGGACTAGCACCCATATAAAAGTTTCTCCTGATTTTATCTATTTTGAAGGTAATGACCGCATTTTCCAATAGATTCGACAGAAGATGTTATTTAAGCAACCTTGGGGGGTGGGGGTGTGTGGTGTTAGATAACCATAATACAAAAATTCTAAGTGAAGTTAATCCTGGTTAATTTAATATTCCAATAATATTTTTATTTATATTTAGCAACCCAAAGCAGAGAATGTCGAATTATTCATGGTACAATAAAATGGTAAGGTAGAGCTACCAATTTTCCGACTTCTACCAATTTTGTGTATGTATTTATTGTTTTGGAAAATAAAAACAAAATATTTTCAAAATCAATGATTGGAAGAAGCTTAGCTTTCGGCTCGTGAATTAAAGTTATTATTACTTAGCAGAAGTTTAGCCATGAATTTAAAAGATAGAACAGTTTGAATCATATTTTTAAGAAAAAATTCTGGCATTTCATTCATTTTTCGCTCTGCTTCACTCATTTTATAAATGAGAAAAAAATAAAAAAAATTGTTGTATATAATTATACCCTACAACACTATGTGTTGGGGGTATTATAAGTTTGATTGGGCCAGAATTTATGTAACACCTCGAAATATTGATTTCCCATATAGGAAAGTATATATGGATCTTCCTAGCTCGCCGAGCTGAGTCGATCTAGCTATGTATGTCCGTCCGTCCGTCTGTCCGTCTGTCCGTCTGTCCATGTTAATTTGTAATCACGCTACAGGTCGCAATTATGCCCCGATCCTTACGAAATTTTGCACGAAGGTGGGATTGGGGTCAGAATAGAAGCCTATTTCTTTTGGAGATGATAGCCAAATGTTTAGTGGTTGAAATGGACCAAATACTGAAAAAATGTCGGATTTTGCAGTAGCTATACAGGTCGCAATTATAGACCAATCGACGCGGAATTTCGCATGTAGCTAGAGTTTAGGGCGGGGAAGAAGCCTACCAATTTGGGTGGTCATCGGATAATATTTAGCGGGTAAAATAGACCATATCTTTTTTGTTGAAAAAATTCAAAATTTTTCATTAAACCGCGAATATTTTAAATCCCGGCGACATCACAAAGCCATGACAAGGTTACTTCTGATCTTTACATTGATGTTAAGATCCAACAAATCGGATATATAGCAAAATATGTGCGATATATATGTCTATCAAAGAAGATATGCTTGAAAGATCTCATATATGTCGAGAACGGCTGAACTGATTTCGACAGTTCTCATTAATTCAGAATGGCCTCTTGGCAGGAAAGAAAAAACGTCTAAAAAATCGCATAAAAATATCTCTCTAAAGATGAAAATATTGATTTTGTAAAATTTTCTCATATTTTTTCAATTTTGTCATATTTTTGGCATATTTTCATTTTGAATTAAACATTTGGTAATATTTCTACAGCTAACAAAACTAAGTAGTTAGGATATCAGGATATCAGATACTGATCGCATTTATGGCCCGATCCTTACGAAATTTTGCATGGGGATAAGATGAGGGTCAGAATAGAAGCCCACCCTTTTTGGAGATGATCGCCATATATTTAGGGGTTGAAATGGACCAAAAAGTGCAAAATTGTCTGCAGGTCGTAATTATCTCCCGATCCTCACGCACATTTGAATGGGGGTTACCGGACATTGCAAAAGCCAAGCAGTTTTGGATGGCCACCCAAAAATATTCAATGTGTGAAATAGTTTGCCAACTTTTGTAGACAAAAAACGAAAATGTCCATTCCAGGGACTTTTTGGAGAATTCACAAATATAGGAAAGACGCACTTCTGACTATTTCGTTAACGCTGATTTCGTTGAAGAATATAGTCAAATGGCTGTATCTCATATAGATGCGTTTCAGTCAAAAACCAATAATAAATGTTAATCTTTTGCCACTTCTGAGAGAAATATTGGTTCCAGATCTAGGAAGACCATTTACGTGCAACATCTACCAATAAATTGGAAATGAGCAAATTGGTTAAAGTTGCTATTATTCGAAAATTAGAGAACGGATCCTGACGGTTTTCTTTTATTATTTGTCACAATATCTTGTGGAATTCTTTCGAGTATCTCGCCTATATAAACTGTATCGTTTATTATAGTGTTGTAGGGTATTCAACGGTCGGCCCCGCTCGACTGTAGCCTTTGCTTACTTGTTTTAAATGAGTTTGACAGGAAGCGGACATAGCCTCAGGACTGTATTTCTGTAGTTTTACTAAGCTGTTCTACCTCCTTATTGTACCATGGAATTATTTTTTATAATTTTGGAGAAACTTGAAGTACTCATTGCAGTATAGACAGTTCGAGCTTTAAATTATACCCAATGTTAGTGTTTTATCTATTATTATTATTATTATTTTTTTTTTTTTTTTGAATGTTAAATAGTACTATAGATCTTTTTTACTCAAAGACATATTTACATTTTCATTTCTAGTTGCAATAGAAATAAACTTTTAGAGTTTACCCTTTTTTGAATTTTTTTCGCAGTACACTCTTAAAAGAGGTAAAGTTTTTCTTTCTAGGGCATTCCGTGGCACTATAAAACTTATTTCCATAATACTTAAAAAAGTGTGTAGATTACAAACAAATTGATTTCAGCTGCATATATCTGCATCGGTTGGCTCTACTCGTGTTTCAAAATGTCACTTTAACCATTAAAGTACTGCAAATGTGGAGGAAGGTTTACCGAAGAGTGAACATTTTCTGACAATTTTTTGTAAGAAGCTTTATGTATATTGTATTCAGAATTCAAAAAGCCACATTACATCAAAAATTTTGTGAAATCTTGATATTCTCTTAAATTGGGGGTAGGGTTCTATGGGAGCTTTATCATAAACATGTTTCCACATCAATTTGTTACCCTACCTTAACACGAATGCTAAATTTCAGCAAAATCGATTCAAAACGTTTGATTGAAAGTTTGTACATCGCAATAATATTGTCAAACTTAGATCGAGTTGGGAGATGGGCAATATCGGTCCACTCCTTTTGGTACCTCCCACATAAAATGTCAAAATTTTCAAAGAAAATAATTTATTGCACAGAAAAAGAAAGGATAATCCGATTTTGCTCCAACTTTGCGAATCCTAATATTTTTATCAGTGCTAGGTCAGGTGTGAAAATGGGTCCACTCCATCAGGTACCTCCCCCACAAAGGATTAAAATTTTGAATGATTACAACACTTGTAAAATGTGATGCAAGAGACCGATTCCGAGTCAAATTTCACACATCACAATATTTTTGTTAACCCAAGGTGCGGGGGGAAAATGGAATATATCGATCCACCCCTTCTGGTATCTCCCACACAAAAGTTCAAAATTTTCAATATAATATAATAATAATTTATTGCACAGAAAGAGAAAGGATTATCCGATTTTGCTCTAACTTTGCGAATCCTAATATTTGCTTTACAGTGCTAGGTCAATATCGCTCCACTCCATCAAGTACCTCCCCCACAAATGGTCAACATTTTGAATAATTACAACACTTATAAAATGTGATGTTAGAGTCCGATCCCATCCCAATATTTATATTAAC